AGAAAGGTGGTGGGCCCAGGGTTCCCAAGGCTCTGGCACTCTGGGGAGATGTCTCTTCTGGGTCCTCTGGGTCCTTACTACTTTGCAACTGCTGTTGCTCTCCTCAGGGTGTCCGAACCCAACTGCCTCCTACCAGAAATGTCAGAAGCACCAGTGACCTCCATGGACCTGGCATTCCATGGCAGCACAGCTCCGTCCTGTCCTGTCTGTCTCCAGCAGGAGACTTCTCTGTGCAACAAGATGACCTCCCAGGTTCTATTCTTGTCCCCGTGGCTATAGCTAAAGGCTAGTGCTGGCAACTCCAAGACACCGTGACTGAGTTAAGCAGAGAGTTGGCAAACCCTTGCCTTCAACTTGAGGCCAGTCCCACAGCCATGGGGAGTGTGGAAGTGAGGACTCCTAGCTGCCTTGGGTCCTGACCAGAGCTCCAGGTCTTTCTCAAGGTTCAGCATTCATCTCTTTGCCCCAAGAAACCTTCCTGGACCATGGCATCCCTCCACCTACCCATCCATTTGTCTATCAAATGATTCACAGGCACTAAGATGAGAGAGAGGCACTTTTGTTAGAGCCCTATGAACCAAGCACCTGTGACAGGTACTACACTGGTGACAGTGTCCTGAGTATGGTCCCCTACGAGCCCCCAACCTGAGGACACAAGGTTACATCCCGTGTTGAAGGTCACACTGCATGGGACTGCAAACTGTCATCTCCCTGGAGACTTGTTAGACACGTGGATGTTCATACATGCTGGCGTGGAAAATTCCAGGTGTTGGAGACTAGCTAGGGGCCAATGGTCAGATCTCATTCTGAGTAAGCACTTGCTTCCTTCTTCAGGAAGGTGATGAAGTGGGCAAGGCAAGCTCTTAGCTAGAGAAACTGAGGCTTAGAGGATGTTCCTTTATAATCCTGGCTAATCTGAAATTCACCTGGCTTTGAACTCACAGAGAACCACTTACTCTTCCTTCTTAGTGCTAGGATTAAAAGCATGTGCTACCAAGCCCAGTTTTTTTTAAGTTAAAAATTATTGTATTTCATGCATTTTGTCAACATGTATGTCTGGGTACCACGTGGGTGCACTGCCCATGGAGGCCAGAAAAGGGTGTCAGATCCCCTGTAACTAGAGTTACAGATAGTTGTCAGCCACGATGTAGGTCTTCTGCAAACACAGTCAGTGCTCTTAACTACTGAGACATCTCTCCAGCCCCACAAAACCCCCACCCCGACCCCAATTATGGAGACAGGGTCTCATGTAGCTCAGGCTGGCCTTGAACTTTCTCTGAAGTTAACAATGACCTTGAACTTCTACCTTCATCTACCAAGTGCCACCACGACTGGCTTGCACAGTGCTAGTGACTGAACCTTGGCCTTTGCATGTCCTGTGCACCCTACATCCACAGCCTGCGTAGAGAATTCGAATGGCTTACTCCAGGCCGTGGAGCCTGGAGGAGTAAGATGAGAGTCTCACCAAAATAGGACTCTGCCACTTCCTGAAAGCAGTCACTGCGTCTCACTCACACAGAGTTCACCCTGCTTTTCAAGGGTTCAACCTGATGACCTCATGCCGGACCCCGGAACCTTTCTCTCAGGACCCCTGGGTCCCTCTTGCTCTCTTTTCTTCCCTGGGCAGCGATCCTCAAAGCTGTAGAGGTTTCAAGGAAACGGCGGGTCTCCTGAGCCTTCACAATAAGCTTCCCCACTATAGGCCAGACCCTGCCTGTGTCTTCATGCCCTATAGTCTAGTTTAGCAGTTCTGAGGCAGGGGCTGGGAGTCTGCATTTTTGACAGACTGAGACTGGGGTCCAGGGACCACACTCTGGTAAGGAGGCTACAAGAAGGCTGGGCACACTCAGCCTCTCTTCCGTCAGCCCTTGCTATCCTGAGGGCCTGTCCTCTTGGCGTAGAGAAAGGCGTGAAGGCTGTAGGCAGGGAGCACTAGACACTGTCCATCCAGGCTCCAGTGTGCTTGCCGCATGGTCCAAGGAGCCATAGCTGCCCACCCTGTGAAGAACCGAACAGCCCCCTTTTCTTCTGGCCTCCTCCTCCTCCTCCCCCCTCCCAGGGCTGCCTCTGACCTGCAGTTCTCACTGAAATTTTGCCCCCTGCGGAAAGCTCATCCCTATTCATTTTCCTCATGCGTTTGGAGCCAATAGGTTTTTATTTATTCATTTATCTTGTCTTTTATCCCCCTCCCCTTCCTCACCAGGCTGGAATTTACAATTCAGTTCTCTAGTGGCCTTGCTGAAGGACAGGAACCTGGGAGAGCAGGGGCTGCACCCTCGAACTGAAAAGGGCAGCTGCTCCTTTGTCCCCTCATGTCCTCTCAGGGTGTTCCAGGGTTCATGCTCTGGTTGTCTGGGTGCTGGTTCAGGCAGGCCCCCACTTGTTAGCAGCAGGGTGGCCAGAGAGCCGGGATGAGCTGGCCCTGGCTTAGAGGACTAAGGGGGCACTGGGTGGTCTGGCTGCCACCAGGGTGCCTTCTGGTGGCTAGTTAGCCACACCTGCTCTGGCTGAGGGCGGTTAAAGTCCCTGGGCATCCATCTACCACCTGCTGCCTGTAGACAAGAAATGCAGACTGTGATGTGTGTGGTCAAGGCTGGAGTGAAGCAATATACTCCAGGGAAGCAGAGAAACCCAGGAAGCCACCGAGGGAGTAATAGCAATGGTTGACGTAAGATAATTATGGCCATTGCACACTGAAGTACTCCCACATGCTTGCTCGTGCCGGGCCCAGCTGTCTCCATGCCAGCTCAGCGACACACCTACATTATCGTTTTTATTGAAACAGGAAGAAAACTGAGGCTCAGCCAGGTCAGCATGCTCAGAGAGGGAAGCCAGGCACCTGGTGGGTGAGCGTGTGCTCTGGCTGCAGATGAGTTTCTGCCTTGCCTGCTGAGCATCTTGACCTTGGCAGGACTTAGGCAATCTTTCTAATGCTTAAAAAGGGATTAGACTGGGGTTTACCTTAGGGTGCCCTCAACATGGTTCAACGACACATGTCTGTGGCTTTCCCTGGACACGCCCAGGAAGGTCCTCAGTAAAAAGCAGCATTGGGGTTCTCATACAGACTGGGTGTGATGCCCCCCTCCCCGCAGAAGCGAGCACTTCCTGAGGGCTGCCCTCCGTCTTCCCCTGTGGCATTCCATTCTCCTTGGTCTCACATTTGTAATGAAAAGCAAAGATGCACCTGCCTGTCACGGGACATTTACGTCCATCAGACAAGAGCTAAGATGGTGAAACCTCAGACACAGCAGGGTTCCTTCTGGACCTTCTTACCCATCCAGACCCCAGAGCTCAACCAACATCAAGACCTGGAGGGGTCATCATCTTGGACAGGACCCTGGACTTGCCTCTGGTGGACATCTGTAGCCCCTACACCCCTGAATAGAAGCTGGTTCTGTGACTTGCTCCAAACCCTGGCAATGATTAATATTTAACAGACAAAATCACGTTGAGACTCTGCATGGGAAATGTGTGGCCGGGGCAGTTCCCACAGAGACTGAGATGTACACTCAGAATGGACTTCACTATGGCCTCAGCCCCGACTCTCAGGGCCTGGGCCCTTTGCCTGTCGTGAGCCAGCGTGGTCTTTTGGTGCTCAACAATGTCCACACACAAACCAGTCTTGGCTCCCAGCCCTGAGCCGTCTCCTCCCTTCCTCCTCCCCTCCCTCCCTCCCCTTCTCCAAGCTGGCCCAGGCCCAGCCACCACCCACAGTGACAGCCTTATCACCATTGACAAGTGGGGATCTACCTTCTTGGGCTAGCTGCTCTACACTGTGACTGAAGCCTCCCCAAGGGACTGAGACATTTACAGGAGCCTGGGCCGGGGACACCAGGTTGACTATGCAAGAAACCCAGCTTTCCCCAAGGACACTCAGAGGCACCAGCCGCTTGCAGGGGGAACACTGCTGGTTCCCCGATTGCTCTGCCCAACCTCCACCAGGGACAGACCTGCTGTGTCCTGGAGGTTCATCTTAACTCAGCAGCTTCACAGCTTTCTGCTGTGTGACCTTGGTCAAGGGCCTTCAACCCCGCTGTCTCAGTTTCCCTATCTATATGACCAGAATGACCAAGCATCTGGGACACTTTCTCTGTGTCCAGTCTGTGTCCATTGAGCCACTGACCCCTTACAACCACCCTCTCAGTACTTTATTAATGCATCCATTCTACAGTTGACAGAGCAGAAACCCAGAGAGACACTGGTCTGACACTGGGGACACTGCCATTCAAATATTCTGACTTTGTCCCAGGTAGAATCAGCCTGGTGGAAAACCCCTACAGAATGGAAGGCTTTGGGCTCTCAACCCTGCATTCCTAGAGTTCTCATCAACCTCTGCTATTACCATCACCCGTTGTTAACACTGATGCTTCCACTAGCTTCAAGGGGCTCAGATGGCGAGGCCTGAGTAAACTGCCTCTTGATAAGCGCACATCACTGGCTGAGGTGCTGGCTGCATCTCTCCAGCCTCATCCTCTACCCATGTTGCAAGAATTCCTTCCAACCCTCCCAGAAACTGTCCTCAGCAAGATGCCTGGTCAGTGCTTGGCATGAGCTGGGATCATGATGCTATGCACTTGGCTGGACCGGGCAGGCTGGGAGGATGTACCACTAGAGGGGTGAACCTATTCGTGTGGGAGTGTAACCTTGCAAATGGTACCCAGATCACTGGCCTGAATGCTGCCTTCCTGCAATGGAGGAGGGGTTGGCTTTGAGACAGGGAACTATGACTACTGTGTAACTGCTGGCAAGAAAACATCCCAGGGTCAGCTGGCTAAGCTGCTTCCACCCAGTAAATGTCACTCAACCCCCAGGGTCCTCAGGGCAGTGTGGCTCTGGCACCTTTCCATGGTGAACCTATGGAGTGGGAACCTTTCCATGGTGGGACTTGGAGTTGGTCTTGCATCAAGGCCCTCTGGTTCTGCTCAGCCACCCCGGGTCTTTCTCAGCACACAGTCCCCCACCCCTTAATTCAGTAATATAGAAGCAGGGGGCTGACTTACATGGGAGCAAAACCTTTCAGGGGGATCTCCGCACGTGATGCCTGAGGGCTCCACTTTCACCTTGACATAATCCTTCAGGCGCATCACTTTGGGCTGACAGGCGTAGAACTCCCAGGTGGGGCCCTCATCTGTGGTCACCCAGGATTTGCAGATGTCATAGTCCCCAGAGGCCATCGGAAGGCAGTGCAGGAAGAGGGCCAGCAGGTGCAGCATGGCTGTACAGTCAGAATGGGTGGGGCCCAGAGGGGCACTGGAGAGGTGGCGGTGGGGTCAGGGGGGACTCGGGGCTTCAGCATGGAAATGCTGCATCTACTAGGCAACGGTGGCTGGGATGTATCAGACTTGAGCACTGCAGGTTTGCCGACGGTGGGAGCTTGTGTTTTCCAAATGGCCGATATGGAAAATCCAGAGCCAGCGTTTCTCAGGCTGCTGATGGGCAGATCAAAAAGTTGCCTGTAACTTGGCGTCCTCCTAACCTTGGAATTACACCTCCCCTGGAGGTGAAGCTGATCAAATCGGGCAGACTCTCAAATTGTGACAGTGGATGGAAATGGGATCAGGAGGAAATCCGAAGGGATCCGTCATGGGGCTGTATCAGGTTGCTTTTAATTTTTGTCCTTCCAATCAATCCAGGTCTTTAAAGGGCCCTCTATGTGTGGTGCGCTCAACACGACTGCATAACGGCCCTCCAGCCTGCGTGGTGAAGATAAAATAAAATCAGGAGGTGTACATATTAGCTGGAAATGTGTCCCCTCTTTGGGACTGGACTTGGCATCTCAGACCAATAAAAGAGATTTCCTTTCATATGGGCTGCAAGTGACGAGATTGTGTGACTAGACTAGAAAATAAAACAAGTCACCGAGGTGTTAACTGGAGAGGCCATTTGCCTCTGCTTTGGTGGGGACGGGCACGGATGGGGGCCAGCTGACCTTGGCTAGTAGCCATTGGCCACTTATTGGGAAATTCCTGAGGCTTCAGCTCTCTCTACCTCCAGGTACTTGGGCTCTGGCCTGACTTTCATTGTAAAGGGAGAAGATCGAGGCTGCGTTCATTAGCAGCAACACCTGCAACAAATTAAAAGGGGGGGGTTAGAGACATATAAGAACAAAAGATCTCTAGCAAAATGCCTGCACACACGCATACACACACACATACACACACACACACACACACACACACACACACACACACACACAAATGGGCTGCATTAGCAAGATCTCCAGAGAAAGCTGGGCTGTTTTGTTTTGAATTAATATCAGAGTTCCAGGTTTAGAGACGGGCATGCTATTAAAAAGGTGGTGTACCTCCTCATCATTCGCAAGGATGTTTGCTTAGTGCCCCTTCTTGAAGATGAGGAACTTTTTAAAGCATTCCCAAGAGCCAGGGTTTAACAGTGGCTGTAACATACTAGGTCAGACCAGTCAAAATGTCCAAGTTGTTAAAGGAGGCCATGAGTATCCAACAGAGGAGACTGCCCCTACTGCTGCAGCCCAAGAGGAGGTCTCTGTGTGGGCAACCAGCGATCTGCTCCCTAGTCACCCGCACAATGTGAAACCATGAAGTAAACGAGTTAATAGCTAGAAACTAGGATGTCCAAGGCTTCCACGGGAATCAGAGTGTTTTGTTGTGTTAGATTTTCTGACCAAGGCCAACAGTTTGCAGTCATTTTAGGAGGGTAGCATCTATTTTAAGCCTGAAATAATCATTTAAAAGCTAAAATAAATATAGCTAATAGGAGCACTGCATCCAGAAACATACGACTCTCTGATTCTAGCGTATTCCCAGTTGTTTGCTACGTCATGGACAAATCTGAGCCCGCCAGCATGAGATCCCCGCCAAAGATAACCTTTGCCAATAGGGCAAAGGTTATTGAAGTGGATGTAGCAAATGTAAGTAATTATCATCTCTGTTATTAATTATTCTGGCTATAGTGCTCACAGTTGCTGCATTTAAATTCCCAAACCTCACATATGGTGGCCTGACTCTCACCCGAAACCCTTGTCAGCCACTGTATACTGAAAGTCCCAGAGGAGTTAACTGTCTTTGCATGAAACACACCAGACACAAGCACATTCCTGCCCCCCAAATGAAAAGGGGGTACATTTTGGTTCAGCCTTTCTGCTGAGACCTACTTGCTCAGGTGGAAGCCCTCAGCCAGTACTCTGCTTCAGACTGCAGTGGGCCTCATCCATCTGCGTTAAGACCGCCCCTGCCCCCTCTTGGGATGAAGGACTCCTAATATAGATGAATGAGAACCCAGCTAGACCACACTTCACACCTCTCCTCGGATCGACCGTTTAAACAGAAACCTGGTCTAGACCCCGCCGGGGCTCGCTTCTTGCTAGAAAACTCTGGAAGAACGTGACCATGCGTCTATTTTTTTTTTCAAGCTGAGAAAATGTAGTAAAAATAAAATAGCACGGGCCCCAGCAATGGTTTGGACGTTTCCAGCCCAGCTCTGAGCTGCCCAGAAAACAGCATGCCCCTAATTAATTCTTCCAGCAGCCGGCACCCGACTGTTCACTAACAGGTAGGGCGCTCCTGACGGCTGGGGACGACCAGGGAGCCAAGCTGGGGCTCTCAAGGTGGGCCCAGCTGCCGGCTTTATCTGCAGGGCCAGCGGCTGCTCCTGTCTGGGACAGCGCTGGATTCTGGCCCGGGTGGGGAGGCAACGAGGCCCTGAGGCCGGAGACCCAGCGAGCAGCAAGCGGCGCAACTCGTAAATCTATTAATTGCTTTGCAGTTTTGTTGGCTTAAGCATCACACATTCCCTAGAAAATGGGGGTGAGGGAAACAACAACAAAATCTGCCAGGGGAAAATGTGTTTACAGCCCGTCAATCAGTTGGGCGTTGCTGGCATCGAGGGGGCACTGTGAGCTCAGCACTCGAAAATTACAGGAGATTTTTGCCAAAAAGAAAACAAGGGGCGGGGGACCTAGGCAAGAGTCCGCGGAAAAACGAGGTACATAGTGGAGAGCGAGCGAGGAGCCAGCAGGGGAGAAATTCAGAGTAAGAGGTTGCATCCTCACGGATCGTTTTCTCCTTGGAAAATAAATCTTCACCTGATATTATTAAGAAACTGCAGCTCTCTGAAACAAATGGAATCAATGCGCTTTATTTTCTTTTAAGAGTCCTCAGGAACCGAGGGGGGGCTGATAGCCTGGGTATTAAAACCCGAAAATTAGATTTTATCAGGATTTCTGAACTCAGATTTCTCTGTCTTATTGAATTAGCGCCTTTCGGAGCTGGCCGGGTTGCCAACAGGCTCCTGCCGGAGTCTCGGGCTGTGCGCTCTCCTTGTCGGAAACTTGCCTCTGCGGGGCGCAGGGTCCCTGGGGATCAGGGGTGAGGTGGGGACCGGGGGTAGGATGGGGACAGTCCACCGGAGGTTTATTCTTCCACCCAGGTTAGACAAAGGGTAGAAGGGTGTGTGAAACTTGCTCTGGAGGCCGTAGGAGGGATAGGGAAGGAAAGCGAAGCCTCATGGCCCGCGATTACCTTCCCCCATTCGCCGCCCCATCCCCATCCCCCCCCCCTCGTCTTGGGCTGCCCGGGCGCTCACCGTTGCCTTGGTGGACGTCCGGGTTCAGGTGTCCCGGTGTCCACAGCTCTGGAAAGGGAGCTTTCTCTAGACCTCTGGTTTCTCCCTGACACCCTCTCAGCGGCTGGGGAGCCCCGAAAAGTTGGGCTCTTGGGGGCGGGGCAGATCACCCGGCTCTAGGACGCTAGGCTGAGGCCGCCTGCGGCTAAGTCCCCGAGGACGGGCGGGGCTAGCATGCGACCCGCAGACACCGAGGAGTCTGGCTGAGTCCGCGCTGAGCTTGGGGCGCGTAGACAGTGGCGTGCACTGCACACGGACACGAACTGCCGCTGCATTTCGCTTTTCTTAAGTTCGGTGCAAACCGCCGGCACAATTAATAATCAAGCCTTTAATAAAGGCCAGGCCAGCATCCAGACTGCCCCCTCATTTGATATCGTCTCCCTTAATTAAAAGACCGCGCAAAGCTCCTTGGAATTATTCGCATTCTTTTGCCAGGCGCCGCTGCTCCGTGGGGACCCTGACGCCGCTACCCCCCAGCCCGTACCCGCAACTTACTCTGAAGCGGACGGCCCCGAGATCCGGCGGTCCACTTCCCGCCTTCCCGTTGCTTCTGCTCCCCCTAGAGTGGGATTTCACACCATGGTGGAGGACGCCTTTCCACCTGCCGACCCCCTCCACAGCACTAAAGGAAGTTTTTAGCCTGCCAGGCCAAGAGTTCTCCGCGCGTCTTTATAACGCGGAGGCGACTTAAATTAGGGAGGGGGAGAGGCGGGGGAGAAGGGTTAATTCACTTTTCATAAACACAAGTAAGCTAGCGTTCTTACAACGGTCCATCCCCTCCGCACACAGGCGCACAGGATGGAAAAAGACGGGCTGGGTGGCGGGGAGCCCAGAGGGAAGACAGCTACTCTACTTCTTAAAGATGCTGCACCGGGCGCGCGCACACACCCCTCTTCCGCGGCTCCAGCCCTTCGCTAGTAGCAGCCGCCACCAAATAACTTTGCATCCTAGCCTCGGTTGAGTGGCCTGGAGTGACTCCCTGGCCGAGGGAAAACTAGCACTGTCACCTAAGCATTTTCAAAATGAAAGCACCCTGGGCGAAGCTGCGGCGCCTCAGTCCCCGCCCGCCTCCCCGGCGCTCCCCGCTCGCCTTACCCCGGCTTGGAGCAGCTTCCCGGAGCGAGCCCCAAGAGGCCGGAGACCGCCACCCTCTGGCGGGCGCTGGGTGGGCTCACGGGCCGCAGGACTGAGAGCTGGGGACTTCTGCCCCGCGCCGCCGCGGTGACCGCCGTCAGATCGGGGCTGGGGAGCCCTCGGGCCTCCAGGGGGCCCGCCCGCAGCCGTCCCGGAGACGCGGACCAGGGGAGGGGGCCAACTGCGCCGCCCTCATCGCCCGCCCGGCCGAGCCGGAGGTCGCTACTAACAAGTGCAAACTTTTGGGGGCCCCTGGGCAGCCAGGGGAGGACCTGTACGCTCGCCCCACTCAACCCCCGGTCCGGGTGGGCTTCGTCGCTGCTGGACCAGGCGCCCGAGCATCCCCCTGGCACGGCGCCGGCCAGATGGCGGGGCGCCTCACCGCCCCCCTGCACTCCGCTCCAAGTTAATGCCGAGGCTAAATCCTCTTGCCATCACTCACGGTCACCATCGGGGCTTTTATCTCCCGGTCTGATCCGGGCTGCGTAACTTCCTCTGTGTGGCTTTAACACACCATCCCACCACGGAGCAACGGTCTTCTTAAAGGTGCAGGAAGGAAATACTGCGAGGCTCCGGGGAAGAGCCTAAGCCCGGGGAGGGGCGCGGCGAGCAGGGGCGTCCCGGCGGGCCCGTGGCCAGGGTGGCCCTAGCAGGCGGCCGCCGGAGTGAGCCTGCTGTGGGGGGTCGCTGCCTACACATCGCCTGGCGGCACGGGGACCAAGCGGTCCCTGAGCTCCGGGTACATTCTCAGCCGACTTGGGTCAGGCACAGTAGAGCCGCATCTCTCTTGTTCCCAACTGTGGGGCCTGACTCGGTGCCAGCGCCCAGGGGTGTGGGGGTTGCCCCATCGGCACCAGGGAGGGGGCCAAGTGAGTCAGCCCCCACCCCCCACAATCAGGGTTCTAGGTTGCTGGCTCCTTGGTCTCTGTCTCTTTCTCTCTCTGTGAAACACTGCCATCCAGAAGGCCCCGAGCAGTGGGTAAAGGGGTGGGTGGGTGGATTTGGGGAGCTGGGGAGGGGGGAGCGCTCTGAGCGCACAACCAAAGCCTGAATACCAGCTGACACATCGCCGCCTCCAGCCTGATGGGCCCTGCTTTTGACGGAGAAGCCAAGCCAGCTCTGCAGGGAGTGCAGAGTAGGGGGGCAGGAGGGCCCTTGCTCAGGAGCTCTCTGTCTCCCTGGGGCAAGCCTGGGAGGACCACGTGGGAGGACTCCTGCAGAGGCTGGGCAGAGGCCACTGAGTTGGTAACGCTAGGGCAGCCCTGTGCTCTCTTCAGCCCCCTGTAGGCTCCCTGCCAGGCTGCTTCCAGGGCTGTAGAAGTGCATCTTGGTCTTCCCAGGGGCACTTATGGGTCTTTTTTGGGTGCTCCTGGCTTCCTTGGAGTGGGTTCTTGCTGCAGTATTCACACAGAGCGATGCCATTTGGATGCACCAAGAACAAAGGGCCTGGAGGGGGGGGGAGACGGAGGGAGGGAGAGAGGGGGAGGGAGAGAGATTGGTTCAAGGTCACAGAGGGTGTCAGAAATAGGAGCAAGACAGGCTTGCAACCCAGTGCCCCATCCACTGCCACCACTCACATCCACTTTAACCCTTCCCTGTTCTCAGCATCCATCCCTAAATTTCAAAAGAGGGTTGTTCTGCTGGTTAACATTTAGAATCTTGCAACAAAGCAGGCAGAAGATGCAGTATTAGATATTATCATCGGTAATAATGATGATGATAATAGTAACAAACATTTATTGGACACCTTTCATGTCAGGCTACATGCAAAGCAGCTTGTGCATATTGGTCCCTAATTCTTCCTGAAGCCATGTGAACTAACCCCTGTTAGCAAAATGTCAACTTGGAGCTCGTCGATCTTAAACAACCCGGCCAAGGCCAGATGACTAAGGAAGATTTTTGTCTTGAGAGGTAGATCTCGGGTTCTTAGCTGCTGTTCCACCATTGGCAGACTGGCTGGTTAATCTGTGGTACTGCACATATCTCTTCACAGCCTCAGTTTGCCCATCTGTAAAGCGTGAATGACAAGGCCTTCGGTTTCTGAGTGCCTACTTTAACATGTCCTCAGGTTTCAGAGAAGGACCATCCCACCAAGCTGTCCGGGAAAGCAGATGTAGGACAGTGCCTCTTCCCCGCCCCCAACACGCATCTACTCCCTGCCTGGCCTCAATGTCTTCAACTAGAGGAAACTCCTTGGAGGGAGGAGGCAGATCACAGCCTCTTGGGTTGTAAGCATTTGTGCCTCAGGCAGCAGCAAAGGACACATTGTGTGGCTTCTGCCCAGGGTGAGTGATGACCCGGTAGGCCTTTGGCCTGCTGTCACTCCCAGGCAGGACTATCCATCCCCAGCAGTGCCCTGCTGCTGCCTTATACAGTGACTGGACACTGTTAGGATCAGCCAGCAAGGCATGCAAGAGGATGCTTCTAATTCCCAGTTCATCTGCACGCCACGAAGGGACCCTGGGCTAATCCTGCCAGTGGGTTCAGGATGGCTCTTGTGAACCATGCATGCAAAGATCTTGCTACTAAAATTACAGCACAGTGGAAGTCAGAGTGAGTGCAGTTGAGATAGTGGAGTATCTTGGTCCCACTTAACTCCCAGCTGCATGCCTTTGGGGAGAACTCTTCCTTGTTCTTAGCCTCAGTTTCCCCATCTGTGTGAAAAGGGATTAGCCTGGGCGTGCAAACCCTGCTCTGCCATCCTGAACCAGCCACCTTCCACAGCAGCCTCCAGGGGAAGGCATTCCTTTCAAAGGATAATAGAGTGCCAGGAATGAATAGGATTCCAGCCATGTAGGGACCAGGTGGCCCGGCCCGTTCATTTCTAAACTGCATTAAGGTGCTTTCTGACAAATGACCTTTCACTGGCAGAGAACGCAGCTGAGCACCAGGGGCAGAAAAGTGTTAATGAACACCCCCACCCGAATCATCAATGGCTCTCCTCTCTCCAGAGGCCTAATCATCTTCATTGGTGGGACTTTGCCTTCACTGAACTGTTGTAATTTGAATTGTGTATGTGAAAAATCTGCTATTGGAAAGCATCATTGAACAGTGCAGGGATATGATGGCACCTGCCTTTATTTTTAAAAAAGGATTTGTGTCTAAACATATATGTGTGTGCATTGGTTTATGTCACACACACAGAGACTATACAAAGACTCCAAAGATATATCAGTCCATAAACAGGGGAGATGGGGAAAATGACATACTTTGGTACAGCTATTTCCCAATGGCTTCCAAATCCTTTGCAATCAGGAAGTAAACAAAGGATCAAGGAGTAACAGGAAATTATAAAGTCACGTGGGAAAAAAGCTAGCTCTGCAGTGAGAGGTGATAGATGATGTCCCGCCCTCTGGGGAATCTAGGAAAGAAGACAAGTCCCAACACAGACAGACAGAAGGAGGGACAGATCAAAGGAAGAAAGTCGAGCACAAGCTTAGAAGCTGCCTCTTCCGTGATCTGGCCACGCCCACAGTCACTGCATTCCCTGTGTCAGACCACAATTTGGATTCTCCAGGAAACCCTTTGTCCGTTTGACCTTGAACAGTTGAGATATAGATGTGAATCGGCGGCAGCTGCCTGGAACCCATCCAGGACCTTTAGGAGTTTCGAGATGTCCCAGGGCCTCCCTACTCCACAGCTCAGGTTGGTGCAAGAGAGGGAAGAACAAGACTCACTCCCAGGGCATTCCCCAAGGTGATGCCTCTAGACAGCAGCAGCAACTGCAAGAAGCAGTCAGCTCCTCCCTGCCCCTTCTCAGCTCTAATCTCTAGATCATACTCCCATTAATTATTATTACCGTATTAATCATACATGTGATTAATTCAGTAATGGTGATTCATAATTGATTGCATTTTATATGGCGCCTTTCATCCACACATCTCCCAAGATGTGCACAGCCTACAACAGGACTCACATAGAGCAGGACGTGTTCTTAGCTAGTCTGCATTTTGTTGAATAAACTTCTCTTTGCAGAGACAGGGGCCTAATAGTGTTTGGGCAGACTGGGCTTTCCAGCCAGCCCTACTCCTCGTCCATTTCTCTGAGCAGTGGTGCCCTGCCTTGCCTGGTGTTGCCTGTGTTCTGGGAGTCCTGTAGACTGTAGGTAGTCCTTTGGCAGGCAAGTCCATCTGAGCCCCCAGAAGCTGGGTCAGACCAGTCTTCCTCTACTGAAGGCAATGCTACTGGATCAGGACTCTAGAGCTAGGCTTTCTGCTAATGAGCTGTGTAACCTTGAGCAAGCTGCTTCCTTCCCACCTCAGTTTGCCCAATTTACAGAGGCTTTAACAATAGCCCCTCTCTCTGGACAGATAAAACCAATTAAACATCTAGAACCTGCTGTATAGGAACCTTAAGTTTGCAGTGCGTCTTTAACTAGACTTCTCATTCTTTTTCTGGACCTCGATTTTCTCAGCTTTAATATGGGATGATGGGGCAAAGAGATGGCTTAGCAGTTAAAAGGGCCTATTATTTTTACAGAGGACTTGAGTTTTGTTCCCAACACCCACTGTAGGCAGCACACAATCACCTGTAACTCCATTTCCAGGAGAATCCAATGTCCTCTTCTGTCCTCTGCAGGAATCTGTACACACACACACACACACACACACACACACACACACACACACAAAAACAAAATCATAAAATGAGATGATAGGTCAACTTCAGGAATTCCTCTGAAATCCAAAATGAACACTGACAACAGTAACAGTTGTGATTTTGAGGACTCAGAGTTAGGCACCCTGGGCTCAAGATCCTGTTTGCCATTTTCTGGACACATCTTGTCTAGTCTCAGGCATCCAAAGACCTAAGCTTGGCGTAAGGATTTAATAAGCAAATACTTGAAGACTTTTGGCTTCTAGAGAGTGATTAGCATGGAGTAGTGCTGTCATTTTTTTTTTTTTTTTTGGTTTTTACGAGACAGGGTTTCTCTGTATTGTTTTAGAGGCTGTCGGTCCAGCCCAGCCTTGAACTTACAGAGACCCACCTGCCTCTGCCTCCCAAGTGCTGGGATTAAAGGCGTGCGCCACCACCGCCCGGCTAAAGACTCAGTTCTTGCTTCTTCAGCCTGGGTTCACTGATACTTGGTCTTGACCCTATGTTTATTATTCTCGTACTTTCTTCTCAGTAACTTGGGAGGAAGCCTGTATGGCGATCTCTAGTTAACAGCAGAGCATACAGAGACCTGGAGAGGTGTGGTGCCTCTGGTAGAGGACGTACCAAAAAGGAGCCCTTGGGCAGCTCAGAACAGGCTGTGAATGGATGAGAACATGCCCAGCTGCCTGCCTTTGGCACTGGGTCTCTTCCCCGAGAGGTCTGATCAAGATCCCTGTAATGGGGTGGTGGTGGTCAAGATGTCACTATCCCTACTCCAGACAGTATGACAGGGAGAGGAGAATGGTGAAGCCCAGTTTAGGAAGAAGAGTCCAAGACCCCTGCAGACAAAATACTGGACTCCTTCCAGAAACATGAAGCCCAGGCATGCCCTGCTCCCCCATCCCAGGGACTAGATGAGAGCCAGGGCTCTTTGGCAGCAGCTAATCTTGCTTTCGAAGTCTCACTGATGGGACCAATGATGCTCACATCCATGAGCCAAGGGTTGGAGATTCATTGAGGTCATGGGGCAGGATGCACAGAGTCCCTTTACCAGAAAGCAGCTTACTGCCTGGCCTAACTAGATTGCACCTCAAAAGGCTTCTATCTGTAGGCAATTCTGGGATCCTAGATGAGTATTTACTATGTGTGACATCCTGCTGGGCCCTGGAGATGACAGAACCACAGTTTAGTGAGACTATTCATGCTATCCTCATAACATACAAAGGGTGACTAAGCATCTACTTTGTGTCAGACAAAAGTCAATCCAGAAACTCATACACACACACACACACACTCACTCACACACACGCACACACGCACACACATGTGCACGCACAATGGGGCTGTACGAAGCAATCTT